TGTCATAAAAGAAATTAGAAAGTTCTTGGAACGGAAGTATAAACTATTATGAAAGTACATATCAAATTTTGTAGAATACAGTTCAAATAGCATTTAGAGGATAAGTTTTAGCTTTGAATACATTTATTTTTTAGATGAACATTGTCTTCAGTGGAATAAAAGCAGTAAGGAGAATGAGAGGTTAAGCCCCTAAGAGTGGGTGTTTCAGAGGACAAGCATCCAGCCATTCAGAGCTCTTCAAAACGCAGCAGCTTTGGAATCTATTGGAATCCTACCCCACTCCCATGGATTGGATATGTCATCCTTGGCCAAGTCAATTAGTTTCTCTAAGCATCAATTTCTTTACCTGTAAAATGGGGATAACAGTATCTTCCTCTCTGAGCTGGTTTGAAAGTTAAATGAGATAATCCACAAAAAGCACTCAGCACAGAATAGTAAGTACCCAATAAACGGTTCCTGTTACTAGATGACTATCATTCCTTCCAAATTCCAGATTCCATGATTCTAACTTTGGTATAATGAAATTTAAGACAAACATGAATTCCAGCCACGAAAATCGAATCAGTAAATTAAACTTTCATTTTTATTTTGCAATACTAAAATAGTTTTGTTTAAAATATATTCTTCCTCCCATTAGGAAAGATATTAAAGTAATATCTTCTATCATTATTATAGAAATAAAATACACAATGATCAACAAAAGCTAGTCTATTGCTATTCATAATATTAAACCAAAACTGACTTTTATTTCAGAACGAAAATGAAAGCAGAGAAATATTTTTTAAAAGTGCTAAAAATAAAGCCATAAAAAACTGATTCTCTTTATTTTCAAAATATTCTATATGTTTTTCAATGTACCTTTTAGAAAAGGCATGGAGTTGAAAATGGCCACTACTGGTATTTTAACAGGTCTGCAATTTCTTTTTTTGTGTGAGGAAGATAGGCCCTGAGCTAATGTCTACTGCCAATCTTCCTCTTTTTGCTTGAGGAGGATTGTCGCAGAGCTAACATCTGTGCCCATCTTCCTCTATTGCAGTTTCTCTTAAATCAAGCAGCATATAATAAATTGATCAATAACAGGTTCTTCACTTATTCATTATTGTTCTTCTCCAAAGATGGTTACAGGTCTTTACTTTTCTAATTCTATTTTTCATTTTGCTGAAGAATAAGAACCTTTTCTAACCTTCAACATCCTGATGTAAAAAAAAACCTCTAAAAACATTCTTTCTCGTGTCTTCCCAGATATATCTGTCCAATATCCATTCATTCCCTTTTCTTTAATTAGAATGGAATAATACATAATAAGTAATACATTATTACAGATTTTAGGTTTTGTCTCTTATAAAATACATTATATTTTTTCTTTTTCTTCCAGAAGGAGTCACTATACCCTGTTTACAGAACAATCACTTTCCCCAACTCAGCTTTCAAAAATGTATGTACACAGGGTTTCTCCCCTATACTAACGATCCACCAATCCGCTGTATATTTTGGACAATAAAAAAATAATCAGATCTTGAGCTTCCCAGTTGGCTGATTTTTGTGTAATTTTTGTATTTTGTGTTTCATACTCAATTTTTTTCTTCAATAAGGTAGAAACTATGCCTCCCTAGGTTTAGAAATCTAAATGTTACTACTTGTTAGCAAGCTTTCATTCCCAGTGGTGGGGCTATGCTCCTGTTTGCAGGTGTCTCTCCATAGAGTACAGCCTGCCGTTATCAGATTGAAGGCATTTACAAAGGAAAAGGAAAAGGAGCTGTGATTAGGTAGCAACACGCTCCCCCTTTTATGCATGGTTTAGCCTGTAACCTTGGTTTTCATTTTTTGCTGTGCACCTGGCTATGTTTCTATATTCTCCTGGATCTCTTTGTAGTTTTCACAAAAGCATGACCCAAACACGCCACGCACCATGGTTATTGCTTCTCATCACTGCAGTTATGGGTGGGTGGGTCAGACTACATGTCCTTTTACAATTGTACATTTAGGACACTGCTCTGGCTTGAGGTGAAAGGCAACAAAACTGAAATATTTTAACAGTGACCTTTCATTTTCTAACAAAGATAAAATTCCAAAAGTCTAAAATAATGTCACTACAAAGAAAATTAAACGATACCTTTTCTTCCTAAAGGACTGCCTCAGCTATCCCACCAGCAAACGAAGACAACGCCTTTCTATTTATTCGATTGTCTACTTATTAATAGTGTTTTCCCAGTGAGATGGTAAGCTCCATGAGGGCAGGTACATGTCTGACTTTTTACTGCGTATTTATGTACAGCTTAGCCGCATGCCTTCCTATTACCTTGTAATCTCTAAATAAGTATTTATTAAAATAATGAAGTAAGGCATCAAGTGTTACTGTTCTCTATAATGGTAAAATCTAGTTAAACAGGATACAAAGTTTACTTAGGATTTTAACATCTTTATAACCTTCTCTTTAATTTCACAGAAAAGGTACATATCTTTATTTTTCAGGGGAAGGGAACAAATATTTATTGCGCCCAGTATGCGTCGGGCACTCAAGCACTGTGCTAGATTTGATGCTTTGCAGAAACTCATATTTAAACATTAACTCATCATCCTACAATCAAGATTTTAACACATAAACAAGTCTATTCCTACTTCTAACCATTGACTGTGCCACTTTGAGAATTCTTTTAACTTTTAGGGACAGAACTAAAAATAAAAATCTATTAAGTAAGAATTTAATACCACTAACATAGTTAACTCCTCTTTTACGGGGAACCACTATGGAACAAAGTTTCCACTTTGGAATTTTCCAGATAATAAGTTTACCTCTTTCGACGCTAATATTTTTTTAATTTCAACTATTTTTAATGAAAATATTTTTTAACATGCTATGTTTATCCAAATGCCTAGAATTCCAATCCATCTATTTTGGATAACTCAGATAAGGATATGGTAAGGATAGCAGAGTGGTTAAGAGCAGAGGTTCTAGAACCAGACTACGTAGTAGACATCTGGCACTACTACTTGGACTCTCTGCGTGATCTTAGGGTAACTTCCCTGGGTCTTGGTTTCCTTATCTAAAAATTGACGCTAATCCTATAGCTATCTCTTAGGGCTGTTCTGAGGATTAAATGACAATATATGCAAAGTGCATAGAACACAGATGCAAGGCACAATCGAAGGTGCTCAATAAACACTAGCTAAAAAGTTTTACTTTATATTAAGGTACTTAGCTCTCAGGGGAGAGTTCGGGCCATTTCTCTCTACAATACAATATAGCCACAGGATGCTATGCTTTTGGAGTTCCTATATACATTTTGTTTTATTTATATATATTTTTTTCTATATAGATTTTTTATTGTTTCCCTGTTTCTTCCTTCAATGTTATTTGTCAACTGATGCCCTTACAGTGCCCCTTCTTCTAGTCTGATGCTTCACTCTAACGTAATGAGTAGAAATTTGTAAGAGGAGGAATTCCTGGTGAAGGCCTCCGGGGCTTTCCCAAGAAGAAGATACATGAGCGTTAACTGGGGACTCAAGAACATCTATTTCCACTCACAGGTCTTTCTGGCTTACCTGTTGTGTTCTCACCTGTGTTTGGGAAAATTGGAAATACCAAATAAGTGACCTATGGATTAATGAAGTACTATTGTTCCAATTCTGTCAAGCATTAGATTAATCAAAAACAAACAAAAGGTTGGTTTTTTAATGTTTTGCACTGTTAATTTTCTATAATTATTAATCAGCTACCAATGTAATTCTTAAGCTTTCAATCCAAACAATGTTTTTAGTGTAATACCTGAACAGGTAACATTACGGGTGTTACTAATTGGGCTAGTATACAAAGCTCAAGAGACATAAAATGTTTCTGGGTGACTGAATCCATAGTTCTGATGTGGAGGTTACCAATTTAATGAAAGGGAGAAAATATGAATCACCAAAAGGGCTAAGTGGTAAGAATTATGGATCAATTAAAAAGAGAAGGGAATATAGGGATTATAAACTCTTGGAAAATGACAAAGTTGTAGGGAAATTTGGAAGAAAAATAAGTCAAAAGATTACAGACTAATACAGAGAAATAAGGAATAATTTACCAACTTTACTCCCAAACCCTAAGTGAATAATACTCTTCCCATTTAATATTAAGTTTAGTAGCATCTCTACCTTTTCCCCCTCATTGGAAGAGGGCAAGAGAGACTTTGATAAGATAACCGAGTGCATCAGTGATGATCAAATCTTCTGTTCAAGTGGCCAGATGCCGGAAGAGGCACAATGAACCCCCACCCTTGGGATATCCGAGCCAGAAACTGGCAGCTACCAGGCCAAAATTTTTATATTCATGTGTCTCAAAAATTCAATCCAAAATTTTTATATTCGTCTACCTCAAAAATGTATATTTTGCATTCCATTCTATTATATACCAATGGTTTTTAATATAAAAATGTTTATAACAATTGAGTTATTTAACTCCCCCCAATCCCAAATCTTCAAGTAAAATTGATGCTCCAGGAAGATTTCCATTGTGGTTCGTGTGCTTTTCCCTTGAACAACACCAATATGGTCAGAGGTATGTGAGAAGCATGGGTAAAAATGATATCTTATTATAATATGACAGGCTCAAAGGTTTCAACTAATCCACAATAAATCAATAATCCAATGATCACTAAATGAAAGTCGTAATTCTCATGAAACTCAGTGAAGCTAAAAAATCCAAAAGAATGGGGAAACCGGGCCCTGCAATCTTACAATGCCCTCTTAGCTTTTGAGCTACAGTTCTCATACAAAGATCAATAATGATGTCTTCCTGCTCCAGCACGGAATTAGTGTTTCCTTAAATACATTAACTTCAGAAGTATTGAATTATCCAGGGAGATCAGCACCACAATGAAACAAATATTTCTTTTTTGCAAACTAGTGATTACCAATACAGAGAGCCCTCTGAAGGATGCCTGATTCAAAATGACAAAGGCAAAGACACCAGGACAAAAAGTAACAAAGTATGGTGACCCAAAATCCAGAAAGAAGGTACTCACCCTCATCCTGATAATCTGACAAGAAAGGTGCATCCGATGTGAGAAAAGGACCATGAGTTCCACTGTGATTATCATCAGAGCTGTCCTGTCCAAGGTAATTTTCAGCTTGGTCTCCCCCTGAGGGACAAAAAAGAAAGAGGATAAGGTTATACTTTGGACATCTTTGTAAAGGTCTGTAGATTTCTTCTGGAATTCACAAAAGAGAAGAAGATATATCTTTTACTTGACGGACACGGCCACTATCTATTAACATATGAGAAACAGATAAACAAGTTCAAGAACCAACTTACCTGGATGGGAAGTTTTCCACTCAACTAACTCTCTAACTAGAATTCAGAAACTGTTGGCTTAGAGTCAGGAGACTTCTGGCCACTGGAGAGAAACTTCTCCATCACACTTAAAACGGAAACATAGCTATATAAATATGTATTCATATATACTACGTCTCCATTAATTACAACCTTCACCCCAATGCCTCTTTCTCTTTATATGTGCGAATGAAATAGAATACACAAAGGGTTAACCTTCTATACATAATATAACATAGCAAGGTCAATATTCTTTTCTTCTCTGAAAAGTAAAAGAATTAAAAATAGAGAGACCCTAGACTTTGCTAGATTCTATTCCAATTTAAATCACTACATGTTTTGCAATCATAAGAAAGCTCTCTCTTTATAATTCTAGTTTACGGCCTATGCAACCAACCTCTTAGGAATTCTAAAAGCCCTAAGGAGGTAATATTTGTTCTGTAAAATGGCTTTGATGAAAGGTAATGTATATACAATACTGAATTATGCAATTAAAACAATGCTAATCTCTTTTGGGTGTTTTCAACATACATTGGATGATATTTTGTAGAAGTGGCCCAGGCTATTACGACACTTTTAAAAGGTTGAGACAGAAGATGTTAGCTCATTCAGAAACCGGAAGAAAAGGCTCTGCATTGCAAATGGCTTTCTTTAAAATCCCCCAAACAGAGGGACAGTCTGCTGATAAAAGGACACCAACAGTTGCTCAGTGCATTTCACAAATATGAAAAGGGTATTTTCACCGAATTTAATATTATCTCAAACACTAATTTCCAAAGGAAATCGCCAATGCTAATCTCAGTAAACACTGTAGAGTTTTGGCCCTGGATTTCAACTAGGGAGCAGTGAAACCAAACAACCTACATAGAATCTGTATTGCCTCACTTTAAAGGTTTATTTCCTACAATTAAACTACAATGAGAGGGAGGGTATAAAATGATAAAAAGAGAATGGCTGTAGCCTTGACTTTCCATAAAATAGATGATCATATCTAGACTCTTTTACGAATGGTCAATGGTAGGTAGATGTCCATAACCGAGTTGCACACTTGCAGATATAGGACTTTAGAAATAAACTGTGGAGTTTATTGCGGAGAAGAAAAGTAAAATTAAAAAGAAAACCTCACACAACAGTTGCTGTCCGGAGCCAGAAGAAATGCTCTCCTTCATTAGGTTACTGATGAGGGTACCGAGCTTACAGTTATGCTTAGGGGATCACTGTGAAATTTCCATTATGACTAGAAAAATTCTCAAACCCCAGCCTGAGGGTTAAAGTACTCAAATTTTACATCACTGCAAATCCACCGAAACTGTGTTATCAACACAATCTAAATGGACTGCCTGACAGGTGACCTGAAAGTGAGCTGTGAGGTTAAAGGAATTTTTAAATTTTGAGCCAAACCAAAATCCACTTAAAAAAAAAGAAGTCGGTTTGGGTTGCCAAGCAAAACTTAACATTTGTAGGATTTACTGAACAATTATTCATCAACTGTCACTCTAGACTCAAAGTTTTCTGTTTGCTTCAGAAATCTTACAAATCTACTCTTACCTATTCTAGCACTCCAGGCTATTTTCTTTTTTAATAAACAGATCAGGAGGGGCTGTTTTGTTGTTTTTTAATGAATTTTTATTCTGGAATAATTTTATATTTATTATAAGTACTAAAAAGACAGCACAGAGAATTCCTGGGCAGCCTTCATCCAGTTTCCCCCAGTGGCAACTTCTTACATAATTACAGTATATCTGTCAAAATCAAGAAATTAACATTGGTACATCTCTATTAATTAAACTATAGACTTTATTTGGATTTCATCAGTTTTTCCACTCATGTCCTTTTTCTGTTTCAGGATCCAATTCAATTGTATTTAGAGCTTCCATTTTTGAAGTCTCATCCAAAATACCTGCCTGGATTTGGCATTTTATTTACTAATTTCAGATGGAAAAGTCACTTCCACGTGATTCCTACCTTTTTTGACCATAGCTACCCAGGGTGGGCGTTTAATAGCCACCCCTGTGCCAAATATAAGACCACACCTCCATAAAATAGACAACAAGAAAGGTATATACCTCAAGGCAGCAAAAACAGAGCCTAGGTCAGTCGTAAAAATGGTTGTGGTGGGGGAAACATTTAAAATTATATTTTACACCCAAGCATAATTAGTTCCTGATGATGGAAATGTTGCTGCAAGTGTTTTTAGTGTCATATCAAGTGGCCCAACTCCCTTGGGCATACACAGAGAAAACATCTAACACTATATAAATAGACACTCCCGTGTAATTAAAATGATTACAACTACTCAAGATGCATGGGTGAAAAGTTTTATAGAAGAACCAGCAATTAATATGGTCATTTTGGATTTGTTTAAGTTTAGAACATCATTTTTCCTTAACATATAACTGCAAGTGACCTCCAGATTCATGTACAGCTCTGACAATCACAGTTCCAAGTAGCCACTACCGTAGTCCAGTGGGATCAGACATAAATGATCACAAACTATAGTGACAGACATTTCCACTCAGCAGCTCTGCAATTAGGGCTCAGAACTCCATCTGCTTAGAGTGGCTTTCTCACAAGCAAGACCCCTTGCCACTAGAGACGCACTTTCCCATTGTAACTCGCTCAGAATCAATATATTTCTATACAGATATATATTCTAACACACTATATCTCCATTAATCACATCCACTACTTCCAGTCCCTTCTCTTTGTATTTCTAAGCAAGATCTGGAGGAACTATTTCAAGGGTTCACCTGTTATTAGCTGGTAATTTGCTCCTCTATCCTAAGCGTCATAAGAATTGGGCGCTAGATACACTCCTTAGTATATTCAGTGGCAGGTTCTCCACTGAGTATCATGCTGAGGGGCCTATAAGGGGGATGATTTCTCTACTGTTCTTTCTTGAGAGTCAAACCCAATTTCATTCATGCACCATAGAATGATAAGTTGGGAGTTTCTGAGGGTTGGGACAGAAAAATAAAGTAGCTTTGTGTCAGGTGTAAGGTAATTATTTGCTAGGGTTTCTGTGCTATTTGTTTTTATTCCCTGTGTTTTCATTAACAGTTAATGAGTTTTTCCCCCTTAATTCTGAGACAATAGCTTGGCCACTAGAAGTCGGCTTTTTCTGCCATGGATTCAACCAGCTGTTGCTGCTCCATAAACTTTATGGAGAAGTGAATTAAACTGCTAAAAACTTTCATTTCCTAATTCAATTCCAAATAAAACGGGGGGAAAAATGAACCATGATGATGTTCCCCTTGTAACTATCTTGACTCACAGCAAACCCATCGGATGCTGAACTTGCAGGTACTATTTAGGGACAAAAACAGGCCGTAGTGACAATTTTACCAAAGAAATGAAAAAAGACAGAAAGCAGTTTAAGCATAAAAAATAGCACGAGAATAACAACAGATAAAACAAATATATGTTTGCTTGTTCACTATGTAAAGGCTGAATGGCTTTTTTATGCTGGTATAAAGTCATCGTCTTTGACTTCTCTTCTCATTAATTGAGAGCTATATTAGGAACACCATTCACATCTGCAACCAACTGTTTACACGGCATGGCTCAACACTTTCTAGGGCTTGCTATTACTTCACCAAGTGTCTTTGGCTAATATAAGGAAATTGAAATTAACATAAAATTGTACGCAATTTTTTGATTTTTGTTTCTATGGTTGCCGTTGGAAGGGAACACACGACTTCTGACACTATTTAATATTTAAAAACCCATGAGACGCACAGCTCCCACTTTAAACCAATAAATCCTAAATAAAATGCTATAAATAAAGGTCCCTGATCCAAATCCAGTTAGTTTTCATGCTTGATAGCATTAATATTGCCAGATTTTCATGGACCAATTTAATAGTGATACAGTTCCCAAAGCTGAACTAAGGTCAGATTAGCAAAACTGTAGCTTATTATTCCTTGTTATAACCGTTCACCTAAGATATGGAATATAACACCAACTAAGGAAATACACTGGGTACATACGTGCCCATATATGTGAAACGTTACTCACATGTAAATGTATTATGGAGCACATTTGCAACACCGAAGCTGAAGTTCTGTCAACACTTCCATTATAAATTACATGCCATTTTGCACATACTCATGCATTAGAAAATGTATGGTGTTTCCCACAGAACATCTTAGAGGCTTCACCGATTTCTAAATATCCATTTGGATTTGCGTGGTTAGTTCTTGTGATTAATCCACATGTAGTGAAGGTCTCAAATTCTTCTCTGTTCTATCCAGTCTGACTTCCTGCCCATCTCTTTCTTTTCCCTCCTACATCCAGCCATAACTCAATGTATAAATACTCTTTTTTCCCCCCAAGGTCCTGGCAGTGAGTGTAATAGTACTGAATGTCATTACGTCTACAGAACAAATGATGGGCCAGGTAAAGAAAGTTTCCATTTATCATTCTTTTAAGAAGTTGCTCCAACTAGATCTTGAATGCATAAGAAATAAATTGCTCCTAAGACTAACTTTTTCAGCTTAGGATACTGTTTACTAATCATATAATCATGCTAAGAATAATGGGCGTCTTAAGAAGCTTTTGGGATATCATTTGCAGAGAGTAGCACAGTCTAAATGATCAGAGAGGGAATCAAATGGATTAGATGCTTATAGCACGATCACAACCACATCTGTGAATCCAACAACCAAAAAGGCAGCATAGCTTAGTAATAGTTCCAAAATGAACCACATCTGTCAGCGGTAGGTTGGACAGGAAGCTGCCTGTGGGAGCCAACTGGAAAGTTCTTTTTTTCCCTCTCCTTCAAGAAAACAGTCTTTTATGATGCAGTTT